GTAATAGGCGAGTTCCCGCCCCGCCACTCCCCTCCGCGGTGACGTCACCGAGGGATATCGCGGTCGCTAGGCAACGCGAGTCAACAGCGGCGACGTTACGATAGTAACAGCGGTTACCTCCGCTAGCGTTACATAGCAACACAGCGCCAGGCAAAAAGGGTGCCTATTACGTGGCCGTATTGTCCGATCGAGGTTACATAAGGAGCAGCGAAGGCTATTCACAGTCAGTTATAAAGTAACAGTCGCCGAGTCAAGACGTAAAGTCAGCCAGTCAGTTGTATTGTGGCATTTGGAGTGTACTAATTGTGATACTGCAGATAGCAGTAATCGTAAATCTGTAATTTGGGTGATTGTAAGTGCGAATGTGAAATAAAATTCGCTACATCGAATACATCGAGAATTTATTTGTCGCGTCATACGCCCGATACGCGACAATATTTTAATAGGATATGTAGAAACAAGAATCTTACATTTAATTATGTTAATATCAAAATATGAATTACAGATATCAGAAATGGAAAATACAAATGAAAATTATATCAGAAACAGAACAGTAATGAAATAAAATTCTTATACATTGTAAAGCAGAAAATGAATGAAGAGGTTTATAATTTACACTAACAGAATGCAAATGTTCAGTGAAAATCTGATCAGTAATCTAAGAAAATAATATGATTCAAAGTCATGTGACAAAACTTTAGGAGATTTCTGGGGAGATAATTTGTAGAAGAAAATATTGGTTGTTGTCATGTTTATCACCCTCATTGAGTTATGTTGCTTCACCATTTTTAAGAAAACGAAATGACTGTCCATTCATATATACAAGGGTTTGAACTTTAATAGTGGCAACTATTTATTTACAACTGATACAAAATAGATGTATGTTTCAAAGTTTTATTGTCCTTCAGTGTAGTCACCAGCATTCTGTACAACCCATTGCCAGTGATGTGGAAGTCGTAGGATACCTTTATCAGTGCCTGTTGTGTTGATAGTTTGAATGGAGCAGTCTACTTCCTGAAGAATCTCTGGAACAGTTCTGAAGCAAATGCCATGAAGTGGTTCCTTCATCTTGGGAATCAAGTCGAAGTCACAAGGGCTTGATTCCGGGGAGTATGGTGGATGGTACAGCACTTCCCAGCCCCATCAATTGAAAAAATCAGCCACAGCTTGTGCTGCATGCGGCCAAGCATTGTCCTGCAAAATGATGGCTCGGTTCTGCAGAAAGTGTTGCCACTTCTTTCTCAAAGCTGGTCGCAGGTTTTGTTCCAAAAATGAACAGTAATACTGCGCATTGATGGTCTGCTATTGTAGAACAGTATGCATTGGGATAACACCATCACAGTCATACACGAGAATCACCATAACTTTCACATTGCTGGGGTTCTGATGAACTTTTGAGTTTTGTGGTGACCCGTAATGATGCCATTCATTTGATTGGTGTTTCATTTGTGGTTCGTATGATTTGGTACATGTGTCATCCAGCATAATGATACGGCGTAAGAAAGCCTCTCCCTTGCGCTCATAGCGCTGCAAGTGGTTATGAGCAGCGTCGTATCGTAGCCATTTCTGCATTTCCATCAAATCATGCAGAACCCATTGTGATGCAATTTTCCTCATGCACAGGCATTCCTTCAGAATGTGAAGAACAGTAAAATGCTCTAATCCTGTCTCTCGGGCTAGCTCACGAATCATATGGCGTCGATCACTCTCCAGTAATGCAGAAAGAGCAGACAATTCTTCTTCACTGACACTAGGATGGCCTGGCCGACGCATGTCTGCCACATTTTGGCGTCCCTCGTTGAAGGCTTTTACCCACCTTGTCCCTGTTCTGTAAGGCAATGCAGATTCCCCTCAAGCCTATTAAAGACCATGATGACACTGTTGTGCTGTACAGCCTCTGGCGCATTCAATCTTCATCCAACTCTGTTATTCCTGTTTTGAAAACATCGTGACAACACTACATTAGACCGTCAGCTAACACGAGGCTCTTCTCGTCACTGTGATGTGGGAAGTGAGAGTCCATTTGCTCTGAGGTAAGGTAGGTATGTAACTAACGTGTGGTATAAGCGACATTATTTGGTTCCGTTTCATGGCGTCTCTACAGCAGTGTTGCCATTATTAAAGTTCCAACCCTCGTACATTCAGTTATTTACATTTAACATCTTAATTTTCTACTTTTATTTAAAATAAACAAAAGCAAATATTCCAAAATTCTTTCCATTTAAAATTTTACAATATTTTTTTTTTTATTATTTAACTCCAATAATTATACAATCTATCCATTAAATGTGGATAATAAGTACATGTTGTGGTTTACATATAGAAAGGGAAAGAGAACTTGTCGTGGTGAGCATGTTCCAATGAACATGCTCAATACTTATTTTAACTGCTTAGTGACATGCAGTTAAGTGTTGAATTATTCAAATCTGGTGGGTAAATCTGAAGGTTTGAATCTGTTTAACCTCCTGATTTCTCCTTCGTTGTCGAGCAGCTTTTGTGCCAAGTCGTTCGGATGGGCCTGGAGTCTGATTTTATACTTTTTGCTGTGTTTTTTTATTTCCTCTCGTACTGTTGGTACATCTAAGTCCTTGTGTAGTACCGTGTTCGGCACATACCACGGTGCGTTAACTATTATTCGTAATACTTTGCTTTGAAATCGTTGGAGAATTTCTATGTTTGAGTTACTGGCTGATCCCCATAATGGTATCCCGTACGTCCATATCGGTTTGAGCATGGTTTTGTACAGTAAGATCTTGTTTTCTGTCGATAGCTCCGACTGCCTTCCCAGCATCCAATACATCTGTCGGAATTTTATTCCGAGTTGTTTTCTTTTGGTGTGAATGTGTTTTTTCCATGTCAGTCGTTTATCCAGGTGTATACCAAGGTATTTGGCATCTTCTGCTTGTGGTATCTGAGAGTGATTTAACGTTACTGGAGGACAGGTAGTGCGTTTCATAGTGAACGTTACATTCGTAGACTTATTTTCATTTGCCTTCATACGCCACTTTTTCAGCCAGATTTTACAATATGTTTAACACAAATATTTTATCATAGAGTGGCAATTCATTCTTTATGAGACTTGGTGTGTATATCATGCCACTTAAATCCATCTCAGTAGCATACATCATATCCCACCCATCAGTAATACCAGCTTTTCAGCCTTTCATATTTCTGAGACATAACCTTAATATTGCTTGAACACCTGTATATAACTTTATGAAACTTGGTATGTATGCATTATGCCACCTGAGGCCATGTCAATGGAGAACATGATAAATCCCTCTCATCAGTAATAACAACACTATAGCTTCTCAAATTGTTAAGGTTGTACCCTTGATATTATTCAAATGCCTGTACCAATCATACTGAGACTTCATATATACACATATATACAGGATGTATCACGACTTTAGGGCATAACTGAAGCAGGTGATTTCCTAGGCCTTTGTGATCAAAAAAGATCATATAAACACGTGTCCGATTTTGGATGGTTAAGGAGTTATGACCGTTTTTTCATTCCCGTACACGCCCTCGTGTGAACCACGTCTATCATCTGATGGGTCGCTATTTTTAGCCAGCTACAGACAGAGCGTTCTCGTTATCTCGACACTTGAGAGGTACCTAAGGCATGGTGAGTTGGTATATACCCACGCGGTTCACAACCGAGCGGCAGCCTGTGTTGCGGCCGGCGGCAGCATTTTTGAAAATCAGCTCTAAGCTCCAATCAGTTCAAATTAAAGGTAATTTCACAAAGTCAACTTTACATTCATACGTTAAATGTATCATGTATTATGCTGGTTTATTATTTTGTTCCGTTTATTGTCAGTAATCGTTACCTTGTATTCTGAGTTTAAAACGATCATAACTCCGTAACCGTCCAAAATCGGACACATATTTATATGAAGTTTTTTTTATCACAAAGACCTAGGAAATCACCTCCTGCAGTTATGCCCTAAAGTCGTGAAACACCCTGTATATCATGCCACCTGGGACCAGCTCAATGGCATACTTAAGAAATCCCTCTCATTAGTAGGACCAATGCTACAACCTCTCGAATTCTCCATTAATCTTGGTAGGCATATCATACTATCTGAGTCCATCTCATCAATGGACCTCATGAATCAGTCCATCAGTAATAGCAACACTGTAAACTCCAAAATTATATTGTTTTATTGACTTCATTACAAATACATACTAAAGTTTTCTTACTACTTGTCATATCAGTTACTAAAATTACAGTGAAAGGAAAGTAGGTGATTAATTCTTCCCAGGACTTCTTGTTAATATCATGAGATTTGTGTATGTTTTTGTATTCTAGGACACCCTGGACTATTCATCTCAGCCACAGTGGCCCCCTCTCCTATATGCTGTTGCATTCCTGCACACTGTAGTTCAGGAGAGACGTAAGTTTGGGCCTCTTGGATGGAATGTTTCATATGAGTTCAACCAGGCAGACTTTGCAGCAAGTTTCCAGTTTATACAGAATCACCTAGATGACATGGATCCAAAGAAGGTAATCATATTCAGATTTTTATAATGTATGTCAATGTCTTAATTTTTTAAGTGCTTAATTAAGGATGGCACCATGAAAATGTCTAGTGGAGTAGGGTTATGACTCCACACATTCTTAACCTTGGTACTAGGTTTAGGTGAGTGGTCACCTTGAGATCACAGGTACTTTACCATGGAGAAAGAGTCTGCCAGTACTCATCTGATTTTAAGCTGGTAGCCTGCATAACAAGTCTGGACGCACTAGCAAAGAGAAACATACCTGACTGCAGAGAATGAAACTCCAGTTGTTCTGCCTGAAGCATGGTCAATGTACTGACAGAGTTATCCTAGCTCCCTGTCACAAATTCTTATACTTTTTCTAGCATATGTGACCCCTAAGCATTTTCAGCATATTTTGTAGGAATTTTAAAACATGTTGGACTCAGATGCCTAACACTCTGTCATCAGCGCCTTAAAACGGTCTTGCCATTATTATTATTCTCCCTTTAACAGTTGCAGGGTGTTAATGATTTTAAATAACTTCTGATGTTCATTTTCTTAAAAGCACTCTGCTGTTAGACCATGAAAAATTATTTTCCGGTACCCTTTCTTGTTCTTTAATGGAATTGTATGTCCCATAATATAATAAGTAGCTTATTACAGTGAACTGTAAGTCATACTCTGGTATTCTCTCCATGTCATATTTTAAAGAGATTACAGATTAGAGAGATCAGTTACGGAGCTGCAATTTCCATTTTCCCTGTCATTTGATGTTACTTACTCCTCTCTTCGCCTAAGTATATAGAAAGTTCCTGTATAAATTATTGTTTTCATCTATTGTGTTCATAAGCATTATTGTTTTGAATCCACTAACAAATCCAAGGTGTCATGGAAAATTATTAACAACGAAGTGGGTCATGCTTCCAAAAAGAAGTTTATTCCCACAGAATTAAGATGTGATAAGAAAACAATCCACATAAATACAGCAGCTGAGTCTTTTAACACATTCTTCATAGACTCAGTAGATCAGATAATTAGTCAGCTTCCTAACAATGAAGGTGCACATCCTACAATTAGATGTAGCCTTTTTGGCAGCTATCCAGATATAGTTAATGTTCCCATTACTTCAGCGGAAGTCTTAAGCACAATTTTTTCATTAAAGAATAAGACCTCTAGTGGATACGATGGGTTGTCTAATAAAATTATCAAGTTATGTGGGGCGCAGATAGTTAAGCCCCTTACTCACATCTACAATCTTTCCTTAACAACAGGTATATACCCAGATCGACTAAAATACGCTAACATTATACCATGCTTTAAAAAAGGTGATGCATCTGAAATATGTAATTATAGGCCTATTTCTTTATTGACAGGTTTTTCTAAATTATTTGAAATATTAGTCTTTAATAGACTAAAACTACATTTGACAAACAATAA